AAAAACCACATTAAACTCTTGATTGTTTATAACATACAGTACTTACGGTAACATCCTCCAGATCATTGCCAAGCTCTGTTGAGCTGGCGACCATTTCCCGCTCTGTAATCCACTTCTCCAGTTCCTCCACCTCCTTATTGAGCTGATAGAGCCAGTATTGCTGCTCCAGCCTGGTCTTCCTGTGCTCCACCATGTCCTTTAGAGACACATATAACCGGTCTATGTGGGACTGCTGCTTGGTGATCTGCTCACTGTTGCAAAAGAGAGAGACTTATTTATTAGTTAATCCTGAAACACAGTACCAAAACACACACAAAAGTGACTCTGCCACTAACCTGTCAGGATGTCCAAGGCCCAAGAGGCACTGACACTGTTGGGAGAGCATTCCGACAGTCTCTGCATACGTCTCCACGGTCTGCTCCAGAGACAGATGAGACTTCAGCAGCTGCAGTGTGCTGGCCTCGTCCTGGAAACGAACAGGCGCGGTCAAAAACGGCACTCACCAAAAGCAGTATTGTGTAAAATAGAGATTGACTGATATATCAGGCCATTTTGATTGTTTGTTTTTTAAATATACTGATTGTCACTTAAAATCTTTTGTCCCAACCGCTATTAGACTGCTGAACTCTCTGTAGCTTGTTTGTGATATGGACTTTGGTGTTTGAGCTTTATAGTTTAATATGTTTGTATGGGCTCCACTTCATATCATAGCGCTTATGTTACTTTCTGACATTTACAGTGTTTTTTAGTTTTTTATGTGTTTAGGCCCTATACTACTGAAACGATTTGCACTGTAGTCTGAATCTGAATCTGAAATATATGCTGTAGCAGCACAAACTTCTTTCCTCACTTCACTATTCACAGGAAAACAACCACACATTTTATTTTACTCTATAATAACAATCCAAAGACGTCATTAGTAATAAGAAATAACATTAAAATAGAAACAATTTATATCTGTAATTTTTAAATCAGTCTCAGAACACACCCTTACCATTGAACCAGTTCCGTTTCAACCAAAATTATTTTGTTCAGTAAAAAACTACTAAAAAAAGATCCAAATCCAATAATACGTTTTCTTTTTCAAACTTATTATATGTAAATTCAGAAAATGAGCGTCCACATTCCAAATTCCACAATTAAAATTCTAGATATTTTTCTGGAAGATTTCCTCTCCTTCTCTTCTTTATAATGAACCTATAACCATCATTAACCAATTTCAATGAATGCATTAGCCCCAAAATCATGATCTGTGGACTTAAAAAGAGGAAATTTGCCGGTAAAATCAGCCAATCAAACATCAAACAAGCCTCATAAAACCTATATCAGTGGATCTCTGGTGTATGATTGCTTTACCGTTCCCTTCTCCTCGTTGGCCAGCTGTAGCTTCTGCTCTGACAGCCAGGACTCCACTTTTGCAGCCTCACTGTAGTACTGCTGGGCCTGGAGGGTGGCGCCCAGCAGCACTGATCTCCTCTCTGTTTCCAACTGCAACACTTCCCACAGCTGCCGCACGTGCCCTGCTCCATCCCGCACAAACTCCACCTCAGGAGTCCGGAGAGATGCGATGATCCCGGCCCGGTCCAGCACCTCCTCCACGCGGGCACGCCGGCCCGAGAGCTCCCTCTGGAGAGTCTGCAGAGACACAGACGCGACATGAGACACCGCTCAGTCTCACACATCAGCTGTTTGTGTGAATGTACCTGGTGTTTCTTGACCAGCTGCTGGACACTCTGGAGGCTGCTGCCGAAGTCTTTAGAAGTCGCTGACGGGAGCCTCTCCTGAATCCACAGCTAACAAACAAGAAAATCACATCAATTCATTTTAATTCGATTTATTCTTGTATAGCCCTACATTACAACACTAGTTATCTTTGCGGGACATTGTTGGGGTGAATTTGCCTGTCCTTCCTCCTTCCCTGGGGGCCACCTCTATCTTCTGTCCCCCCTTCACTGGCCAATCAAGTATGACTTGAGGTTGTATAGTTGGTTGCTATCTGGCTACTAGCTCTCTTGTTCTCTGGATCCTTGAGGCATGAGGGCTTCTGCTCTCTCTCTCTCTCTCTTTAACCTTCCTGCATATTCTTTTATTTTTGTCTGTATGTAGCTTTCACCTGTCTCTTGTTTTTTTGGGGCCTAGTATCTGTATATCAACACTATTATATTATTTTGATTATATTATATTTTCATGATCAAGGTAAAGGTGCACTTTATTTATCTCCATAGGCACCACTAAAGCTGTGTTCCCACCGCCGATGCATGGACGTGTGTTGATGGAAGCATGGATGCACTTTCACTGCTTCCATGTTGCTTTCGCTGCAGTCATCTAGCTGCCGTACCCACCGCCTCTGCATCACCGCAACAAGGCGTCTACCGTGCGGGATAATACATGCACAATGTCTCGCATGGACGGACGTCACCATTAAAACTTGCCGCCACGCATGTTCCGGTGGGAACACAGCTTAAAGGCTTCTGTCAGGAGCAGTGGTTGCCGTAGTACAGCGCCCTGGAACCCATCTCCAGATGTTGATGCTCGGCTTGGTCAGGACAACAGGCGCTGGAGGATATTACCTAGCGTGCATGTTTTTAGTAGTAGGGGAAACCGGAGCACCCAGAGGAAACTTACCTTACTTCTGTTGAAACTGTATACAGTATATTGTACAAGGAAGTCATTTAATGGTTATCAGTATGAAATAGAAAATTGATATTCAAATAGATTAAAATAGTTTTATTAAAGAGATTGTGTTTGAGGGAATATAGTAACATTATAAACCTTATTCATAGATCTAGACTATGATTCACAAAGGAAAGGGAACGAAAAGCGTTTAGGAACTAGTTCTGAAAGCCAGGTATTGTTGGTATTGTGATTGTGAATTTGACTTAATTACTTGGTCTATTATTCTTTTGATTAATAGGTATGGAGTTTAATTAGGAGATGTTATTTGTCATCCCACTGTGGGGAAATTTCAGGCCAATTGTAGATCCTGAAATTTCAGTAAATATGGGATTTTTTTATACATTTGACCAAAATAAAACCCAAGTGATGCCCCAGGAGAACTTTTCATCCTGCAATCATTATATAATTATCAATATAAAGCATCTTCTCAGCATGTTAAAGTCTAGATGAGGTTAAAAAAAACTCGGAATCAATATTTCATAAAACAATTTCAACAATCAATTGGTTGAGATTAATTGAATGTCCCAGTTCGCCCTAGTGCGTACCCACAAATGGCAAAGGTTCCCAGTCCAAAGCTGAACTCAGGGGTATGAAAGATAAAGGAAAAAGGGTTTACTATCTCGTCCTCCAGGTCCTGTGCGACTTGGTGCATCTCTTTAGACGCTAACAGGATACGGCGGCGCTCCTTCAGTGGTTCGATGAGCCGGACGATGCGAGTCTCCACCATGCCAGGCTGCTCAGCTCCCTCCGCCTCTCCCGCCATCAGGCCTCGCTGGGGGACGCAGACCCCCTGTAAGGCACCCAGGTCCCCCACATCTTTGTAGAAGTCCCCAATCTGAGACTCCATTGCCTGGGTCACAAGAGTGGTCAGATTAGAGATGATTTAGTTAGATTATTTCATGCTTTATATTCAACATTTTTCCAGCCCCCACCTGGAACTTCTGCAGCTGCTGGTTGAAGGTGGGCAGGTGGTGGGCTTGCTCCAGCTGAGGGGGCTGCTGCTCCAGGTGGGAGAGCTGGCTGTCCAGGTCCGAGTAGCTCTTGACAACTGGCTCAGGCTTGTTGTTCTCGAAAAGCTGCCGCGCCTTGGCCTTTGTGGTGATTTCCAGATCGGACCAACATTCTCTGATCTCCTCCAGTTTCTGCTGCACAACCGAGCGCAGTTCAGGCTTCTCCTGGATCAGCTCCTGCCCCTCCTGCACATACACCAGCCACACAGGGGTAAGTGGGGAAATACAAAGTACAACTGGATCTCTCTAACTAACTACCTAACATTAAAGATATATAGGAGGATTTTCTATTTCCGGGTGGATCCCCAAGACTATTGGTCCTCCCAATTGTCAATCATTCTGGTGATTGTGGAGAGGGCGGTTCTTTCCTAAAATTTGGGAAAATCCTCCTATAAGCACAAGATAAATCAATAATAACTCTGTACTAAAATAACTCGAGCATAAAAATAAGCAGTATAAAATCTCTATCTTTAGCAAAATAAGGAAAGACGTCTAAACAGGTCTAACATAAAGCATATTTCTGAGATTCTGAGACAGACAGAGTGACTGTTTCACCCTTGTGTAAGCCTGGGGCCTACTTAAAATCATACTACATATTGACAATTAGAGCCAAGTTTTCTCCTCCTCCTCTTCAGTAGTATCTTTGTTTAACTCCATGAGATAATCAAGAGAGGAGCAGTGTGTGACAATGCCATGAGTTTGCTTAATCTGTTCACAAAAATGACTGTACCAAGTAAATCCTGCTATTTTCTTGACAATCAGAGCCTGTGTATATCCCATGGCTTTCATAATGCAGTGCAGCATTTCTCCTCTTGGCACAGGCCTGCTGCTTAACTGCTGCTAGTGCTCACTCTCTCCCATCCCCGTGCTCCACTCCTATCTTCCCTCAGCCTCACTCTCCCTCCCATAATGCAGAGCCAGCAGAAAGTAGGGCTCTCTCTCACCACTGCTTGGCTTTACTGACACACAGAATGGCCTAAGAAACCAGAGAGGGGATGGATGGAGAAGTGAGGAGCAGAGGCTGGATTCAGACATTCAAAGAAGAGAGTAGAGAGCGAGAGCTGAGGTCTTGGTTCCATGTTCCCAGTTCAAATGTGCTGTGTATGTTCTTCATATCACCATGTATGAATTATGCTGTAATGGCGGCTTTGTGTTCCCCAAATCTGCAGGCCGGCGATGCTGATGCAGCATAGTGAAATAGTGGGAGGGATTGACTGCCTCGCTTTATAGTACTGACACAAACAAAATGTGTTCACACGGTACACAAGAAAGTAGCACTGCACTACGCACAATCTGCAATATCCGACTACTGCAAATCCAATACAATTACATGCAGTACATCTTGCATTTTTCCCATTGTAGCCTTTAAGCATGGCCTTAATTAACTATATTTACGGGAAAAACCTTAAATATACATGCTGCATATACATGCAGCATGTATATGCTGCATATACATTCTTAAAACCCTATCCTGCCCCGCCCACTTTTATTCGTACGGATTTGTTTTAGAACTTCTTGTCAGTTCCATTCATTTGAAAAAAAACAACAACACCTTTTTCACTATAATAATATTTTTTTATTTGTATGCTACAAACAAGACGTTGAGGCGTTGTCCTTAAAGAAGTGAACTACGGGGAAATTATAAGCTATCCTTATCGATATAGACAACATGAGGTGAGTACCTTTTAACACTGCAATATACAGTAGTATTCAGCAGATTTCTGAAGCCAACATGTTATTTATGATACAATGCCTTTCTTGAGGGTATCATAGTATAGACATTTAGGCGGCACGGTGGTGCAGTGGTTAGCGCTTCACAGTGCCTCACAGCAAGAAGGTTCGATAACCCTCCAACAATTGTAAAGCGCTTTGTGACTGGTCTGTGAAAGGCGCTGTATAAATAAAAATGACTTACTTTCTTGAATAGTTCAGCGGTCACCCAAACCAGATCACCTTTTCACTGTGGTATTACTATGACTAGAGCTACAATACATCCATGGACTCGACTGTTTCAAGTTTCCCAATGTCAAAAATAAGATTGTTGAGAAAACATTGTCTTGTGATCATGTGTTGCATGACAATCATAGACATTAAAGAGTTTGACCCTGAAGTAGATTATTCTAATTGCTCAGGATGCACCAATATAACACTGATACTGGCCTCGTACAATGGTGCTGTTATTGGAAATTGGGTGAAATTGTATTTTAAACGAGCGGTTGATCCTGTAAGAAACAACAGTTGTTTAAAACGTAAACTACTGTTCATGGACATTCTGTAGTCTGTCGTCCCTGTTCTGGTATCGGTTCATCAGATATTGAAGCCAAAGTGTTGGGATCACTATCAAACTTGAAACATCTGGATCGTCCCTGTTTCTGTGAGTGTGTGTGTGTGTGTGTGTGTGTGCGCGTGTGCGTGTGTATATGTGTGTGTGTGTTTGAGAGTGTGGGTGGATAAATTGAGCATAGGTAGTCCTGGTCCTGATCCTGGGTTTGAGACCCATAACTGCCTCGTGGTTACAAGTTATCTCTGTGTCCTCCAGGTTTCTCAGGCCTAAAACACGTATAATAGAATTAATCTGGTGTGAGCGAATGATCATGGTGCCTGCTATCTGGTAGCCCCAAGTCAGACTGCCCCAGGGCAGCTGTGGCTACAGTTGTCACCACAGTCTGAAGGTGCAATACATAAAAAGTGTAGACTAAGTGCTATATAAATTAAAATATGCACTTCATTTACTAGAAAAACTAATTTCCATCCAGTTTTTATTTCTCTTTACCATACATTTTTGTATTTTCTAAAATCAACATGTTTGTACAGGAAAAACAAATTCAAGTTAGGCCATGGTTTAAATATGAATCATTATAATCAATTAAGTTACGTAAAATAAATACATGATTTATCTTTACTTTTTGCTGAAAAATAAAGAAACTTTCATGACTGCGAGGACAACAGCAAACCACAGTCAACAGGAAAAGGATGGTGTTAGTCTATATTCATCAATTAGGGATTCTGCTTTTTCATGTCTGACTCCACGCACCGAGGCTTTCAATATCTGCAGATACCATAGAAACAGAGACTAATAAAGGAAAATGTATCCTAAATCACAGCTAACTTACTACAAAATGTAAAAGTAATCACAGAAAAGCTTTGTGAGTGTAAATCTGACATTCTGGTTAATAATTGGGCTTAAGCGAATGGATTAATCGCAACAAATCAATTATTGACATAGTAGTTTACTAATCAATCGATTAACAGTTTTTTTTAACCTTACGAAGGAACACAACATGAGAAGAGGTTATATGACTCCGACAGTTATTATTACTACAGAATAATATGGAATTGTGTCCCACTGTGTTACATCTAGTCTAAAGCTTTAACTTTAAACAGATCAATTAATTTAAAGAATAATCACACAACTGGTTAAAGTTATAAAAGCAATTTCAGCCCTAGATTATATCAGTCAATAAATGGTCTCATACATCATTTGAATCCAATCAGTTTTATCAGCTTTACCGACACAGAACCGAGCGGATCTAATATTGCCATCGATATCTGAAACCAGTATTGTATCAGTGAATCAATTCCATCAATTCAACTGTGATGTGTGTCAAGTGCATGTTTTCTGTGATCTGAAGCATAGAGGCTGCAGATGAATCAGGTCTGGGTTAACTGTAAGAGAAGCCTGGTCAGAAGCAGCCTCCGCAGCTTCATGAGCAGCCCTGCACCATCCGTGGTATTTACACGTCTGGGGTCGTAAGATAAATGACACGTACTTCATAACGATTCACAATAGCTGCTAAATGTTGTCCTGATAATCTTGATTATAAAAGACAAAAAAATATAATGTCCTCCAAAAAACACCACATTCCACAATCTGAACTGAAATCGCCATTAAACTGTAGAATGGACATGATTTGATTTCAGTTGAATGGAATTGTCAAACATCCATTAAGGTGCATTGGCAAATAAATAAATAAATACATACAAACAACAGATAATGTGATAATTTTGGTTACGTACTAATGGTTACAGTTATCACACAATGGCTTCAGAATGCAGTGTGAATGAACCTGACGTTTAAGAATTTAGAAAATCGAAATTTCCTCAGAGTCATTGAAAGCTCTGATGAGAACTTTTATTCCAAATGATACTAATCCTACAGAAGATTCTGGGATAAACTGTACATACAACAGGTCATTTGGTTTCTGCGTTCTAGTCTAACGTGTTTGTTTACAGAGGCCTGACCCTGAGCCTGAGAAAGGCTTGGCACAAGGACAGACTCGTCCCACACCCAGACCAGCACACAGCACACAGCAGCGAGGCGTGTGGAGCCGCATGTGCTGAGTAAGGCCTGAGATAATCGAGGGGAAGGGGCTGAAGTGGGAACCTGTCCAAAAGGACGCCGAGTTCTGAGTGCGGGCAGGACACAGTGTCATATGTGCCGGTGTCTCTCAGGTGACCACGCTGAGCTGCGGAGGTGCAGAGGGCTGATGTTGTGTCTGTGGACGTACAAGGGCCTTTCTCAGACGCTGCATTGAGCAACACACCAGAACTTGAGGAAAATTGTGCGAGTCAGCACACAGGCCCAGCTACAGCGAGCAGCCATCTTCGGCTCCCGGTGTCAGTGGCTGTTTTTTTCAGCTGGTATTATCCATGAAAGGTTATACATATGTGCTGATCATTCAGAAAAGAAACCGGATACTGTTTCAGTTTTCTTTTCAAGCTGAGATGTTATTCTTGGCTGAGCTCTTCTCTCTGTTTTAGGCATGTTCCGAAACCTTTCTCTATTCTAGTGAATGAGTTTTATAGCATGAATGAAAGTGTTGTATGTGCACAATTGTCTTCCAAATGATCCTATTCAAATGAATGTGAACCAACTTAGAACAAACCAGTATCATCTGCCGTATATGCACCAAATCAGCTTTTTCTTGTGTAATGCTAATTTTGATAGTAGTTTTCAAGATCTCCTGATTTGACCGGACAACAGTGATCAAACTTAGAGAAGGAAGATTTTGAACAAACTGAAAATACATTTATCTCCCCTCAAATCATTATTTAAAAACTGTTATTTACAACATAAGTAACTACAGAACAATGTATGCGTGGAATCTAAACTCTTCTGACAATCTGTAAAGGACATTTTCTTAACCCTGTCATTGAAAGACCCAACAGGATATTGGCTGATACTCAATCCAACCCATATATCCGATACCAGCACCTGCAATGCTCACATCATGTCCATGTTTGTTTGTTAGTTTGTTAGTTTAGTAGCAACATAACTCAAAAGGTTATGGGCGGCCTTTTACTTAACTTTTAGTAAATCTTAGGAATGGGAAACAAATATATATATATATATATATATATATATATATATATATATGTATATATGTATGTATATGTGTATATATGTACTGTATATAAATACCCATATATACAAATACAGGTGACTTCTATTTACACAAAGTAACGAAAAACTAACCAAAAAACCCTAATACTTTTGATTGGGGATGACACATATTGTCTATGACAGTTTCCACCACATCCTCACAGGGACAGTCATGGAGCAGTTTCAAGACAGCAACTTACGTCCACAGAGGCCGATCAAAGATGACATTTAACATAAGTAAAAGTCTTGTGTAACTGACTATGTACACTTAAACACAGAGGACTGTGCTTGCTGTTGTTATAAAACCATAGTTACTACATTCAGGCTAAACGTCAAACTCTATAATAACTTCACAAACCCAGAAATGACCACAGTTACAACATATATGTAACGTCTGTAAATGAGAGAGCTTAATCATATTAATTCCCTCTTTCTATCGACCAGTATACAGACACCAGCCTGTTCTCAAGAGCGATCCTAATGCAATATGGTCATTTGTTACACCTGCTAATACATAGTTGAGAAGCTGTACTACAGACAACACATAATCTATACTATACACGATGGACATTCATAGAGGACAACTGTATTTTCTCACCATTAGCTTACCCAGAGTTTTACATGCAGTGATTCTTGCATGTTTGATTATTCCTATGTTATTTTGTATTCAATGCTCAAAGGTAAGGCAAAATTCTGTTAATAACTATCCCCTATTTCTGTCCATTGCTTTGTATTTACTTCCAATAAACTCATATGGCCTTCCTCCATGTGAGGTTCCAACAGGAAACATAGCCATTTTCTAACAATAATAGCAAGTAACTAAAAATCTCTTGCTTGTGACAGTGAAATACAACAGCATAATGTTGCTTTATTATCAAGGCTATAGAATGTATTTGTGTAACCTGGATTATCACAGTTTGTATCACACTACTACTACCTCTATGGCAAAGGCTGCATGCCCCATCAAACCAGCAAAGCATTATGGGTATCCTGGGAGAAAAGTGTGTGATAATATCGACAGCATGTGCATCAAGGAAAAAAAATACAACCACAGCAAAAGCAGTGGGTCCTCGAGGTGTTCCTGTGATTTTAGGCTATGGGACAGAAAATGAGCTGGGTTATCACTTGGAGCTCATCATCTGTGAGACTGAAAACAACACATTCACCTCAGCAATAACCTTGACTGTGTAATTCAGGATGTCCCCAAGCTAAGTCTTGAAATGAAAACAGAAGGATGACACCTATCACACCCCACTCTCCAGGGCTTCCACAACTCACCTGCTCGGCCTCTCTAACCCCCCACCAGCACCCCTCATCCCCTGCTCACCTGTTCTATCTTGGCCAGCCATTCCTTGTTGCGGGCCAGCTCTGCCATAAAGGCCTGGTGCTTCAGCCACTTCCTGTGCAGCTTCTGGGCCTCATCCCGCGCCGTGTCTCGGGCCATAAGCATCTTCTCCTGTGCCCGCTGTCCCAGTCACTCAGCTAAAGGGAGACAAAAATAGCCACCATCAGGAGCCCAATGCTCGAGCCAGCGCCTCTCCCCCCCTTTCCCACAGGACGTCCTGCCTGCCTCTTCTATGCGAGGCCCACACGCTCCTCTCAATATGGGCCTGGGTACCTGTGCTGTCACCACCCACCCTTTCCCCCACCAGACACCCTTTTTCTGGAAGAAAAAAAAAACTAAGATAAGCACCTCAGCAGCAGTGGTTGCAATGGAAGAACTCAAGCCTGAGTCGCCCCTGGGTCCTCATGCCCTACCGCTTCATGGGTCTTGCGGTCCTGATGCTGCAGTGCCAGCTAGCCAGTCTGGGAGAAGGCAAAAAACAAGCAGCAACTAGAGGAAATGCACCAGTGACAACACAGCTAACGAATGACACTAGCATCCAAGATTCCCAGTGGGTAGTGGGTTATCTTCTGGCACCAAATGTCAATTACAATCCATCCATTAGGAACGGTGGCAACATAGCATCTAGCCACGACGGATGTTCGAGCCAGGACCGTCCAGTATTAGCCAGCACAGGTCAATCTGTAGTCCAGTCTAATGATGCTGTAGACAGGAGGAGGAGGAAGAGTTGGAGTGGGAGGAGCAGGGCGACCAGGATGCAGAGGCAGTGCAGTGAAGGCCGGATCACATAAGCTATCCTCTCCTCAAATGCATTGTTGCCATGTTACAAAGATGCAGGCGCGTGATGCTGAGGAATGGTACACTATTCCCTCTCCTCAGCGGCCCTTCCCCGTGTCGGCAAACCACTCGTCGGCGCTTGGTGCATGCTGCTGCAGTCCTTGCCTCTCAGCTACGCCGTGTGTGTGTACGTGTGTGTGTGCAATCACAATCAGCACTGCAGTGCCGGAGCAGAGAGGCTGAGAGAGAGCGAGGGATGAGAAAAGGGAGGGAGGGAGGGGAAGGGAACAGCCAGGAGGAGTAGGAAAAGGAGAGAGGGAGAAAAGAGTGTGCGAAAAAAAAAGAAGCAAAGAGAGTAAGTGAAAAGAGGAGAGGATGGTGTTGGTGTTTGGGGGTAGTGGATTCAAAAAGGCAAGAGAGAGCCTGCGTCATCCCTCAGTGTCACTAGGGACATTTCTCTGCACTAGAAATGACTGCACTCGGAGCAGGATCAGGAGCAGGAACAGGATTTGGGAGGGAGTGGAGGGGGAGGTGTGGTTTAAACAGCTGAATGAGAGAGGGGAAAGATGTGTGCACACATGGCCCACGGTGCAGCTGACTGATTCGGATCACTGTTCTCTCCACATGATTTACATGAGGCCAGTGGATCTGTAGGTTTCTACTGAGGACAGAAGCACAAGGAGGCTATTGTGTTATACTTCACATGAAATACAAAAAATTGAATAGGGAGTATTTTAAAATGGTCAACAATATGTCTCTGTGGAAAACATTGAGGTACCACTGTCACATTAAATAATCAGTGTGGAGTAGAAGCAGGATTTAAAAATATTCCCTTTGATTTAAAACATAAATATGAAAGTATGTTCTCAGATCAGCTCATAGGACTATGGACTTACTCAACTACATGCTACATTGTTACTATACCGAACATATGTGAAGGATGCAATGAGGAGGATCTAGTGCCACCTAGTGCTAGTTACTTACACTTTGGTCAAAGGGTTGAGTCAAACTAGATTATCCCAGCTTTGTGGAACTCATGTAGGTGTTGAGAGATATATCAGGTCGGGAAAGGTGTCTGTTCGTTGCGGCAATTCATGCTGAAATTAAATGAACAGATACAGAAGGAAACAGAGAAAACTGTAAATATTCTATTCTGTATTCACTAAACATAAAATACATCACCTAGAGGACATTACCCTTTTGTAAAAAAAGAAAAGTTAAGTAGGATGCACAGCCACATGTTTCTATTCACGTTTTAAATACAATCTTCAACAAAAGTATCAAAAATCCAAAGCTAATGCAGCGTGCTGCTGACACCCTCTACTGGACAAACAGAAGCACCTCTGGTCCCAGACATGTCGGCTCATTTTATTTATAACACTAGTGATCATTAGACAACAGCCAAAACACTGCAATGGCTCCTCGAAATAATGCAGTAAAAGACCATTCAAACCATTTTGTTTTATGTTTTTCTTTGGAAGGAACAGTGTGTATGAATGAACAGAAGGTGCTGTAAATACACCAGATTGTAGCCTTGGGCTAATTTCCATCCCCTATCCCACAGTCGCACTCACAAACTAGTGCAGTTTTGTGGTAGTGGTATTTCTCTACAATCACAAATTCAATGTTTTAATTGTGGAAAAAAGTCTGTGCCACAAGTTTTTCAAAATGTGGATTTTAGCTATTGCTGGCATGAATAAAGAAAACCATAACATCATAAAGCATGAACTGGCCTTTAATGTGTAAGATCAACACACAGTGGCAAACAATTGAGTTCAACCAAATGCAGGTTTGATAAGAAAATAGTGGTCACTAAACAGAATCAGAACCCCCTTGGATGGATGAAGTTGTGGAGAAGTTAAAAGGTAGTTTTAAGGTTTTACAGAGATTTCCCAAGCTTTGAAAAACTCCCAGATGGAATGGAAAGTCTTCGGCACAGCTGCAAACCCACCAAGATACGGCCGTCTGGCCAAGCTAACAGGCCGAAAAAGATGCCACCAATGGGCCCATGGTAACTTTGGAGGAATCTGTACAAAGAACAATTTGTTAAGCACCACACAAATCTTGTCTTTATAGAACAGCGGCAAATAGAAAACCAGTGTTGAAATAAAACCACAAGAAGCAAAGCAGGGGACACATTCAACATGTGGAAGAAGGGGCTGTGGCAGGAAGAGGCCAACATTAAAATGAGAATTCAATTTTTATATCCATTCGAGATGTGGACACTCGTGACATGCAGAGCAGACTGCTGCATTACTCCATTAAAGGGGGGGCAATAATAACTCTGAAGAGTGTCCCTTTATATTCTTTCCTCAGTAGTCTTCCCTGTCACTGCCCAAATCTTGTTATTGTTTGTCATTCTGTCGGTTGTAATCTAGGATCTAATCCTAAACAGGAAGCTATATACATATAAAAAGCTAAAAACTATCAATGTATTAACACCAGAAGTAAATAATTCATGTCTGCAATGGAAAAGAGTTCCATGTTTATTGAGGTCCATGAAAATTGGTTTATGTTCAATATGACTTGTGTAAAGTACTGGATAAATATGTGGAATAAAGAGTTTTGCCCTTAGCACAGAGTGAGAAATGGAGGAAGCCGTTTGGTCAGAGAGAGTTTTTGGGCCTGTGTCTTGTGTTTTGTGTGTGTTCTGTTTTGTGTTGTATTGAATGAGTGATACGTGTTGCTACGTCCAACCCCTTTTCAAACTTTCCCTCTATATTGTTTTTTTCTGTATGATATTTGACTTTGCTATAAATGGTAACCTACCTACCTACCACCCAACCTACCTTTCCATCAAATCAATTGGAACAATCATTTTAGAACAAAAAACTAAGAATAGAGCTGTGCCAAAAATCACAATCTCATGTATAGCCGTGAGCATTAATGTGGCAGCGCGAGAGGATGAATAGAAAGAACTGAGCAAGGGAGGGACAGTGTGTCTTTACCTCTTCATTCAACATTTAGCCTGAATATTATAAATCAAATCCATAAAGAATTCTTCAAAATGAAAAAAAAAAACAAATTATAAAAAAAAACAAACAAGATTGTTCAACATGAGAAGTCCCGTATCTCCTCCAGATTGAATTTACAGTCTCTTGAAAAAATATCAAAACAGTCTTTCCAAAGTTAGAAGTAGCCAGTAGCAGACATCACATTGCTCTCCATAGCCAATAACACTAGGTTATGAAGTCATAGGATGCTGGAGGCACATCTAAACCGCAACACTATAATTATGAATGACTGGGGATTACAAACTTTCCTTTTTCTTTTATTTTCCACCTCCGCTTCAGACTTTCCTGTTGTTTATTTTGAATGAGATGCTGTCATCCGCTGCCTTTTATTGCACTTGTCTTTGTTGTTATTTCATGGATCTTAGCTAAGATCCATAAAATAATTAGGGAGCCGTTCACAAACATATCTTTAGAAAGGCTGTAAACCTATTAAGACTCATCTGACCATAGAATTACAGTGTGTGAGGGGGCATCACTTTAGCAGGAGTGGGCTCTGTGGGAACTAGCCTACAGACAGTTAACTTTGACCACATGTTTGAACACCTTAAGGACCCTGTAATGATAACCTTCTCAGACCTCCTTCTCTTTAGAAGGAATGCACAGTGAACGTACAGCCTCTGGAATTTGTCCCATATTATTGGTATAAAACTACATGCACACAACTGCATTGGTTTGACAATGATTTGATTTTGATATGATTTGTCATAATAAAAACTCATTTAAAGTGGCCAGTGTAGTTTGTAGAAAAATTAGGTTTTTTCTAAATGGACAGGGGCGGAAGTGTGCTGACATTCCGGTGTGAAGGAAACAGTTAGACATGTCATGACATTATGTACTGACAGATTTGCATGGTTCTGTTACAAGTTATAAATCATTTATGAGGGAGTAGTAGCAGTGCTCAGCGTATGGCTAAATGAAAGGGTAAAGTATTGCTAGTGATCCGAGCTATGGTGTTTTTTCTCCATAGCAACAGTTTGCCAATACAAATTGTAGATAAAAAAAGATACTATGTAAACTCATTTCAACTAAGTACACAGTATATGATTACCAAGCCTTAACCCTGCAGTGCCTAACTCTTCTTTTTCATTAATAAATTTACTCTACAATGTAAAATTAGTAACTCAAGCCTTATTTGTTATAACGTCAGTAATTGGCTCACTGCTTGTACCCAAAAAACTCAAAAGTATAACAAAGGCATACAGTATGTCACATTACATGTGATATATTTTGTGAACAAATCAGACTTCATGCTGTCTTTATTTTCATTAGATTATTTGAGAGAAAGGAAATAGTTACATGTATTTAATTGCAAAGCAAATTATTTGTGGTAGATAATCAGACGGTATCTCGTGTAAGCTTTTTGGTTTTACTTGTTGTTGTCACCCTCATAAATCACAACTGCTCCCATGTAGTAAACCTTTGGAGACACGTTTAATGCTGTAGAATAAGCGATGATTAACAGCCAGGACTACGACATAGATTTGGTGAATAACATTTTCTGTCGAGCTGCTTCTGCCTGCACCTGGGGCATTGCTTCTCACACACAATTTTTATAGCAGTCGTACACGGAGCAGCATTACGGAAGCAAACGACACATAAGTGCCAGTAATTTCAGACTGAATGATTCACAAATGCGTTGTCAGGATCTGCTCTGTTGTGTTGTTGGACTAATCCAACAATGCAGACACATGACAAGTGTAAATGTTTCATATGGTATGTGGTGATCTGCAACACGGAGAGCTACCCCACATCAAAGCTACATATTTGGCCTTGTGTAAGCTTCCAGATAAAAAAACAAACAGTTCAAGCGTGCAGGGGAAAATGTGAGTCAAAGCTAAGGCCTTCCTTCTTCAGTGGCAGGTGTCTGGTACATTCAGCCATGACGGCAGCATCAGCTCTGACAGCAGAGATCACCACTGACAGATGGACTTGCTGGACAGACCAGTGTCCTTCAACAACACAGACCTGAACCTCAGGTAACACAAGGGCTGTTGAACAAGTGGCAAAAACATCATCACAGCCCTAGGTTTGAACAATATGTGCCTCTGTATTACAACAAGTCCACTATAATAAAGAATAAAATGCATTAATAAACTGTATTTTATTCTTTAAAAAGGATTTACAGACTCTAAAATTCTGACGAGGCAAAAATTTAAAAAACCATGAACAAAGTCTTATTTTGCAAATGATATCAAAGCCTTCAGCCAGCGTTTCAAACTCTATTTTGCTTCATAATCTCAATAATCAATAATATAAACATATAATCAACAACTAGTCAACTATTAAACTTGACAATCAATAAATAATCCATGTGACATCCCTACAACACCCAAAACCAGCTCAAAAACAGTGGTTAGATTAGCACTAACTTTAGTGCCAAGTAGAGCTTTTATCGAGGTGAGAAAATTCCACAGAAGACACCAAAAACATGCATTAACATACCAGTGCGAAGCCAAGGTTAGCGGACTTACTCACTTATTAGACCTAACTACCCCTTTGGAAATATACATCTATAACTTTTGGCACACAGACCTCTAATAACAAGCAGCTAACAACCAGTCATTATAGGGGCTTGAGGAGGAGATTTACAAATCTAGAGTTCAGCGGTGCTGGACAGGTTCCCCTCACTTGAAAATGGTTATTCCATCAAGAACACACTAAGCTGCATGATAAAATCTTATGATTTATTCTTGGCGGCTAATAATTACTGGTGTCTTGTCACCTGTCAAAATGAATGGAGCGGGAGAGTCCGAGGCTATAGTCTCCATTCTTTTTTACACCACAGCAGTAAATCTGACATGTTTGCGAAGCCATAAATCAAAGCTCCTCTGAACACATGCTGCGCCTCCCACATTTTCAACTATTTAAGTGGTTCAAACAAACAGAGGATGGACTGGCTGATATAAAGGTGTGCAAATGGAGATATCTAAGTCATACTTTTATTGTGAAAAGATAAGATATGTCTCCCCCAGTTCAAGACCCGCTGTTATTGCAGGCAGATTTGTGACCACGTAAGTACAGGCCAGAGATGTTCTAGTTACATCAGCTTTTCTTTGACAGGACTCGAGATAAAGAATCCTAATCATTAAATAATACATTGCAATATCTTGTTTTCTTCATTCTGAAAATATTATGTGTGTTGAGGAGGTAAACCATAATGGGCCAGACCACAGATTGCACAAACTACCATATCCCAGAGTTGAAAAACTGATAACGAAGACCTGCATGGAATGTAGAGGGAGTGAGTACTGCAGCATGTGAGAGGTCTTTTTTACACTAAAAGCTAAACTTATTTTTTTCTCCAGAACATTTGCAATACAAAACATAAACATGCAATACGTGGAAAGAGGGAATAATAAGGGAATCCCACGAAGAAAGCTGTTAATAGGCTCGACCTCAAATCAATAGTTTCTCTCTGAGAGGTGCGGTGCTGGGTTGTAATTGTTTTAAAGGTTGGCGTCTCAAAGCCGTAACACGGCACAATAAAAAAGTCATGAGCAGGAAGGAAGCAATGCTTGTGAACGACCCTGGTTCAGTATCTGAGCCTGGCCTTTACTTACCTGACCTGCTGCACTTGGCCAGGAGCTTGGCTAATAGGTCAGTGCATCACCTTTCACTATCCTCTGTCTGTCCAATCAGACCATAAAGACACTTCCAATCTAGTCTGTTTAAAATATACTAAATGTGTGGACCAAACTAATACAATACATTTACAATACCAAACTAATACAATACACCTAATTAAAATAAGGTTGATAAAGCCTACATTATGCTGGACAATTCTGCCAAAGGAATATATTTAATTTTTTGGGATTTTAATGGTTAAAAGGATTTTAATGAAAGACTAATGGTCTAAACCAATTGTTCTGTTCAATTGTCCTAATTCTAAAATATTTGTCCTTGTTTTTCTCTGTTTTTTTTTGTCTTTGATGTCTAGAGTTTGTACGGCTTCTGTCCTCAGGTGCTGCCCAGGACTGATTTATGAGACGAGGTTCCAGTGGAGTTCCTCTAAATTACATGGCCCTTAAGCCTAAGCGCAGAGAGATACACAAGGGGAGAATGGGCACTCTGAAGGCAGCTAATTGTAAGGACAAATCTAAACCATTACAGATAAGAAGGTTCCTCTTTTCCCACACATTACCAAAAAGCAGTGTGCACTTGTTACATAGAGTACACATGTTTCCTGGTTAGAATCAGTTCAAAATGACATGAAATACTTTACAGTTATATTAAATATAACTGAAATAACTATAATAAAAATAAAAAAATGTTTACAGTCTAATGCTGCTGCTTGTTTTAACTGAAGAAAGTTTGGATTCTTGTGTTTTGTTTACAAGATTAAATGAGATCATGTTGAGATAGAAGGGAGAGTCAGAGTAGGAGGTGACAATGCCATTTGGCCGCAGGGCTCCCATAAACCAGGAGATGGAGAGAGTGCAGCTCCTCACAGGTACCTGCACCATGTGACCACAGCCGCTTTAAAAGGCAGGCCAACCTGACGGCACGACTAATCACAAGACAGCAGCAGTCAGAGCAGGAGAATACCTGGGCTGTCGGCACAGCACTACACACCGACAGCCCGCACTCACCACTGTCACGGCAGAACAAACAGACAATTCTACAACACGTTTTGTTTTTTTAGAACACATTTTTATTGTGTTTTATCACTGTTTGCACCATGAGCTGCAGCAGTGTTGCCGGCTCAGAGTTTTCTGAGGAAGAGTTGGAACTCTGCACTTTGGGTCAAGGTGAAGAAGAAGAAAGTACTAAAGACTTCTCCCAGGACAGTGAAAGCTCAACCAGCAGCCCAAGTGAGTTAGAAGAAGGCCAGTCCAAGAAGCGCAACCGGCCGGTGCGCTCAAAAGCTCGAAGAATGGCTGCTAACGTCCGTGAGCGCAAACGCATCATGGATTACAACCAAGCCTTTAATGCCCTGAGGGTGGCACTTAATCACGATCTCAGCGGAAAACGTCTGTCAAAGATAGCAACTCTGCAGAGAGCCATCAACCGCATCTCTGCCTTGTCGGTTTTTCTGAGTTCAAATCCCCCCAGCAAACCCTGCAGCCACCGGGAGTGTAACCGAGCCTCACTGGGGGTCCCTCGCTCAGAGCAGAACCAGACCCCTATGCCGCGGGTGGAGCAACAGAACTATGCCTTGTGGCATGGGCCCATGCCTCATCAGAGGCCACAAGTGTCCCACCTGCAGAGGTTATCCACTGAGCCTCAAGTCTACATGGATAACTCAGTGTCCTCTTGTCCTCCATCACCACACTACCCCTGCTACCCTTCAGATGCACAAGTCTACTCCACACATGGACCCTGTGGAAGCCCCCACAATCTGCCCCCCAGCCCCCTCAGGTACTCACAGGTGGGGGACGGCCTGAGCTATCAGTCTGCAGTATGGGCCTCATGCACACAGGGGTACATTGATCAGTTTGTGGAGCCTCCTCCAGCGCCTGGGCTTCACTGGTCAGTAGGTTACCTGCAGGAGCCAGAGCACAGCCTGCAGGTGTGCCCAGAGATACTTTGACACACGTGAACCTCAGGACTGCACACTCAGCGTCCTACAGAAAGATACTCTGAGGAGGACATGAGGACTGGACAGTTATGTAACACATGGCATCTAGACCACCGAATGTTCTCAACTGTGCATAAAACAACCTCAATATTGATTCTTCGATGCATTGTACAAATAATCCTCCACTTGACAAATCTTACTGTTATAGAATCAAATGCACAAATGTGACTGATGTTTTGTAAATTGTCTTGTATTTATATATTTTTTTATTTTCAGTTGTTTACTGAAGTGTGTATGATATTTTGAATAAATCTTTATTGTAACTATAACTTTAGATGCGTTGCCATTTTAACTTTTTACGAACAAAAATAGTGTGTGCGACTTGCATGTCCATGTGAGGGGTGGGGGTGTGTGAGTCTGATTATAGCCCTAAGTCGGCAACTTCTACCGTTCTGCCACAGAGATGACAGAGGTCCTTCACTGTGTTGAGAAATGTCCTTGCAAGTCCATTCATGTCATTTTTTTTGTGAGAAGGGGAGTGAAGGCACTGTTTACATGCAGCTATAAAAACACACAGCCCATTAGGGGAAGGACAACAGTGTATTCACAACCTATGATCACTGCAGAGCATTTGCATTGCATTGATTGCATTTGGTAATCACACACATTCAATGAGTTTTAGTCTCTAGAAGCAGCCAGGACCATACGTTAAAGGTATAGTTTAGGTACATCAGCTTTAACCAATGGCCTGGTCAACTCCACAACTGAGCAAAGCCACTGCAGGCTCGTCAACAAGCGCTTTCCCTCTTCTGCAGGGCCAAAGGTAATGGAAAACAGCTTTAATATTAGAGCCTGGGACAGAAGCCACCGACAGATTTATGTGGACTCAGGAAGGAAGAGTGTGCCCCGTCATCAGCGTGGTGAAATCCCCTGTCGGTGCGCAGAGGCCCGCAGGTGCACTCCAGTGAGAACCACTTTTTGAACGTCCTGGAGGTCCTCAATAATGCTGCTGAATAAAAGAGTTGGTCTGGGAAGTGATCTGACAATTAATGGGCAGGAGGAAACAGGACAAAGACCTTGTTGGAAAGATGGCTTGGAAGAATATGGGGAACTTGTTGCAAGGCTTCTACACAGACATGAATCACTGGAAAAGGTTGAGTCACAATTGAGAGACAAGAGTGACTGGCAGTGCTCTGTGACGGCATGTCTCTCTCTCCTCCCTCTTTGGCTCGATAACACATTTCTCGTCATATTGTGCCAGTTTATAGACTTGTTTGGGTCTTCAGAGACACACAGGAGTAAAAGTGGACTGATGGTGCTATGCAATTACTAAATGTTCAGACTTATAATGGCACATAATGATGACTATCAAGTACGGCTTTCAATGCCTTTCTGTCAGCCTGTTTTAGCTGCAGATTTTATATCCAAATAGCGGAAATGCCTCTCTAATAAGTAAGGAAAATGTTTTAACCTGCACCTTTTATGGGATTAACCAAGTAAAAATGATCCATAAAATCTCCCCTTCGTGTCTACATTGTTGCCTACATTCCATGACTGTACTTGGTTTGATGTTTCAAATGCACTTAGAATGCATTTATCATAGAAGGATATTAATAGATGCAGGAGTAAATATAAGTTACAGTATATACTGCATACCATGTCGTACAGATTGTAATCTTTTTATTAATCTTCATTTATATAGTGCATTTCACAGACCAAGGTCACACAAAGCACTAGTTTATATATATGAGATAGATACAGTAGATTTAATTTATCACTACCTACTATTAGGGCTGTCTAAAGGTGTATCAAGAGTCCCTTTGGCTGAGACGCCGCCCTATATGTGGGTCTGTTGGATGGTTGGGAGGAAGGGGTCATGGGTTTTGTTTTTAACCAAACTGTAAAGCACTTTGTGTTACATCTTCTGTATGAAAAGCTCTTACAGTAATACATAAAATTTGACTTATTGATTGATTGATTACCGGACCTCTGAAGCTGTGCAGGAGAGTGCCTGGTAAGTACTGTGATGGGAGACCTCTGGGAACACAAGGTGCCACAGTGGGGCGGCTGTGTCTGTAAAGTGCCAAACTGTTGTTGTGTCCTTAGGCAAGACAATTCAGTGAAATTCTCCTGATAAGCACTATATAAAACCGATCAAATAATGCTGATCCTAACGTTATACAATATGGCTGTTACTAACTGAAAACGTTTTTTCATGTGTAAATAGCATGAGATGTGATACAGGTAGAGACATATTCCGTGTCGACAAACTGATTCCCAATACTTACATTTCATTACTATTTATCACGATGTCCCTGCTATAGTGACAGTGATGATCCGGGATATTCAAGGACATTTATTGACATTTATGGACATTAGTCATCCCGCTCCCTATGGCTCTTATGTGTTTGTTATTAATGCATTTCTGTGTTTGAACTGATTTGTTGATGGTGAATCGACAACTTTGTAAAGTCCTTCAAGACGGCTGCTGTTTCGATTTAGTGCTGTACAAAAATTTATTGAATTTAATTGCTATGACTGTGAATTTTCAAGTGCAGTTAAGCGGCCACTTGCATTGGACAGCTTTGTTATTTCACAGGAATTCTCTCTTCTGTTTTTACAACGCGTGTGACTCACCTGAGGATTTACTTCACTCCTCTGACATTTGAGCGTGCCAGTGATACATCGTTTCTTCAGACTGTCCCGCCTCCCTGACATCTCCCGCTGGCAAACTAATGGAATGAACACAAGAAAACATGAGCGCAATAGTGTCAGGACATAGGGGTGTGTTTACTTGATATATGAGAATGAGTCAGCCTGTTCAGAGAGGATGCATGTTGATTTTCATTACCCACTCAATGTAACACATTATAGAGGTGCACAAACATGCAGCAGCAGCGGTGACATCATTGAGAAAGGTGTTGGAATATACTGACGAGCCAGAACATAACACATTGTGAAATATACTACTGTCCGAATTGCACAATATACATACTATTTATTACAACTGTTATCTAACAGTTGTAATAGGGTCAGAGAGTGTTTGGGCCTGTGTCTGTGAGGTGTTGTGTGTGTCTGTGTTGTCTTGTTTTGTCCTGTCTCTGTAGTCATGTCATGTATTAGTTCATTCTATGTACTGTATAAGTTTACAGCTGTTTACGAATGATCCTGTATGTATAAGGTTCTTGTACTGTACTTTGTGTTGAATGTGTGAGGGGGTTGGAATTCAATAAGCATTTGCTTCATCCACCTCCTTTTCAAACCATGCACCTGTATCTCTGTCGTTTTGAGATGATGATGTTTGTGCAGGTTTTGAAATAAATAATATCTATCTCTCTATCTATCTAACGCTTAGCCCCAAAGGTGAGCTGACTTACACAAATCATAAAGGGAATGATCACTTTGTATTTGGATGGATGTACCTGTATTGACTGTGACTACATAGAAGTAATTTCTTAGCATGATATATTCTAACTCGAGGAACATGTAACTGGTCAGGTCAGCTGTTATTAAAGATATATCGATCTTCTGCAGGGGAATGGAGTGAGCTATGACATCTTTGCGCCACTAGATGGAGACATGGTAGAGCTAAAAAATCAGTAGCCCTCCCTGTGAAAATAAATGACAACAAACCAATACAACCTCTTGCATAACAACTGTTAAGCTAGACTACTAGAGTTGGAGCATTTTTACCTATAAAGGCATGGTGCATTTATGTCTACTTAAAGATTTCTTGTGTCACTCATAGGCGTACTGTAATTATCAGAACGCAATAACAGTTATCACTCAATTTTTTTCTGTTACTCATGTGTATAACCTAAAAACCTGAGGATGAAGATCTGGAACCTTCTTGCTATTAATTATACTACTTTTTTAATCGCCAAACTACCTGAATAAAACTCAATACATTCTTACTGTAAGTAGTTGGAACCCATCTCAACAGTTTTAACCTTAAGCTGCTTGTCTTTACTTTTAACATAAAGTCTGAAAAAAATCCACTATTTTTCTATGAGCCTCCACTTCCCACAAACACAAACAAGCAGGGTTTGTGTGAAAATAGTGACAATAGAGAGGGACAAGACAGCTGGCTCTTCACCAGCACAGAAAAGAAGAAAAGATAGGTTAGCTGAAAACATTCAAGTTAATTGGAGGCACAACTTTAGATGTATTTTAAGGTTTCATCTCAAAAACGCTGCTTTCTTGTTCGACAACAGCGGAAATAAAAAGAAATCAGTCAAGATAGCAAGAACAGAATTGGGGAGTCTAGTTTATCCTTTCCAAAAAGTGTCGTATTCAACTGTTAAAACAATTTCGCTCAAATTTGAAAACACCTGGAGGAAAACAGCTGCTGTGTACCAGAGATGTTTGGCCCAAAATGTGAATGACCCGAGAATAAACGCTAACGACCTTGTGATGATGTTGGCTGAAGCTGGTTAGAATTTGTCATTCACCAAAGTATAATAATAATGCATCGGTTTTATGTATAGCGCTTTTTTGTACACTTAAAGACCCTTTACATGTCATTATTCTTTCATTCCATAGGCAATGATAGAAAACTACTAATGTAGACACAGCTGCCATGAGGCACACTGACAGAAGCAAGGCAACCAGTATGTGCAATTGGCCCCTACGACCACTACCAATCCTCCACACATCAGACTCAATCTAGGCAATGTGGGTGAAGTGTCTTGCCTAAGGGCACAAGGGCAGTTTTACAGCTTTACAAGGTATTTTACAGCCGCAGTCGCCCCACTATGGCACCTGGTGTTCCCAGAGGTCTCCCATCACAGTACTAACCAGGCCCTGCTCATCTACAGAGGTCTGGCATTCACATGCATGTATGGCCACTAAACTAAACCGAACATTGGCTCAATGACCACTCTGCAAAGAAAGTGGCATTACTCCAAATACAACATTAAAAAACAAATCAAACTAAAATAACTGTTTGGCCATTATGATAACATAGAGGGGGTAGCTTGGAGGCGAGAGAACACCATACCAACTTTGCAGCA